TCAATTTACACAAAGTAAATAAAATCATGAAGCTCTCCCTGACCGAATGTATAGACGTCTTATGAAATAAAAAAGAAAAAAAAAAATGCGCCTCTACCAGATGCACGATAAGGCGCCTTTTTTAAACTACCATTTCGCCCTCGTATTAATAATCCATGCATATATCAGAAGGCCACCGATATGTCAGTATAAAAAAAAGAAATATTTACTTTATATATTAGTGTAAAACAATCTACCATCGAGAAAGCGAGAGAAAAAGCCGTATTTCAGAGTACTTTTTTCGTTTGCAATTCACGTTCTCTTACAGAAAATGGGAGACTTTCCGCGGGAGAAAGTTCGAAGAGAAAATAAATTAGCAGAGAGGTACGTACGTCACGAAATATCAATTACTGATGAATATCCATGCTGGATTATTCATCTATTGAAAGAAAAGGGTTAAGAATAATTTTTTTTTATACATGATCCCGTTCTCTAACAGAATATCTAAAGTCTATTCCGTTTTCTTCTCGACGACATCGAATATTTCCCGCCAAAAATCGAGGAGAAACATGGCGGACTTTTTGTATAAGCCGCATATAAAGGCGACTTTGAGGTTTTCTTATGTACACTGGAAACAAAAATTCGTTTGAAGATATTCCCTAACGAACTTTGACCTTTTTTTTCTACTTCTTTTGCAACTCAAACAATATACACTTAAAAGGCACAGAGTGTAACAAAAGACTGAAAGCCCAGAGAGATTATGAAAAATCTGTTCCTCCCACGAAATAATGATGAAAAAAAAATCCTTGAGGAAATCTGATCCTTCTACGGGTTACCTATTCCGTCTACGAGATGTCTGTCCTTTCACTTAAAAAAAAGTTTTTGATCACTTGGATAAACGTTCCATTTGCTCCGTTTTCAAGTAAAAAAGTGTGTTCACATCACTTTACTATACAATACAAACCAACCAACTATTAATACCCTATACTAATTTAAGTAAAGACTCATTTCCCAAACAGTTTATACTGCTAAGTATTAAGTCTCTAATATACATAGCTTCATTCTATTGCACGGTTTCACAGTGAGAGAGAGAGAGAAAGAGACGTTAGGGACCGTTAATTTGAATTCAAATTTAAACTTTCATTTTCTTCCCAGAAGTCGAAGTAACGGTTACGTCGAAGGCTGTCGCTCTTCACATATTTACTTCGACTGTTTTTCTTATAAGATTTTTTTTTCCTTTTGAATTTCCAATCTCGACAATGGTTTTAATTTTGTAATATGTAATTTTAGTATAAAATCCATTCTTATTTTTTTTTTTTTTTTTTTTTGCACCATATATTACCCTCGTCTCACTAACTGCGATTTCTCTTATCACATTTTGTAAATAGTTAAGTAGAATTATTTTCTTTTAAATGTAAAACTACTGCACTGTGAAAAGCCATTATCGTCAATTATTTTTTTTGTTTATTTTTTTTTATTATTTTGTTTACTCTTTTCGTCAAATGGCTTCCCTGAAAAACTAATTTCAAAGGTAGTTCAGAGTGCAGGTTAAGCAGGCATCAGGGTCGGCGTCGGGGTCCGTGTGTCTGTCGGCGTCGCCGTGTCTGTCGGATCCGATCCGAATCCGTAAAATCATCCGTGTGTCTGTCGGCATCCGTCATCCGACGAGAGCACCAAGACCGCAAAAAGATCCGAACCACCGACAGTCATCTGCTTGCGGTTTAGCCAGTCCCTAGAGATATATATATGTATTTTTGTATCTATATATATCTATTTGTATATGGCCACTTTGAAGAAGAGCATTCACAGTCGGGATCTCGGGCGCCGCGGAGGGAGCGAACCGCGGTCGGGTCGGGTCCCGGGCGGGGGTTGGGGAGGGAGGGGGGTTGGGGAGGCGGACCCCCCCAGCGCCTGACCGATTGCGGCCGCTCCGTTCACCCGCATCCGATGGCATCCACAAGAAGGATCTATTTGTTACCCTTCTTCTTATTCTCTTTATTTCCCTTCTTTCTTTCTTTCCACTTCTCTTCTTACCCACCCCCCCGACCGGCCGCCCGTCCGCTGGCGCTTCCTCCTATTTCCCGATCATTCAACTTTCTCTCTCTATCTCTTTTTTTTCTATTTCTTCCCTTTCTTCCTTCCCCCCCCCTTTTTTTATCCAAAAAATTCCACTCGTGCTCTCGCCGTCGTGTCCCGCGGCCTCCCTCCCTCCCCTCCTAGCTTATCATCAACTTGAAATTGGACGCCCCCGACGCGTAAGGCCCGAACATCCCATTGGCCGAGGTGCAGTTCAGGCTGGGCGTGATTGGCGGGGTCACCAAGCCGGAAGGGGGGCTCGGCAGCGCGGTGAAAGGGGGCTGGCTCTCCTGCTTGATCTTGACGTTTGATTGGCTGCTGGTGCTGGGGATGGCTGCTGATTGGCTGGCTTGCGGAGGCTGCGGCTGCTGGGGGGGCTTGGGGGCGGAGATGGCAGTGGTCGGCTCGGGAGCGCGGTGCTCGGGCTCCTTCGCGGGCTGCTCCTCGGCTGGAAAAGAGGGGGGGAGGTCAGCCGGGACGCGGGAGGGCAGGTCAGGTCACGAAAGGTCGCGAGAATTGGGAATGAAATCGTAGGTAATTTATGAGTTTTTAATAATCTTATATGATATTGAAATCTATGAATAAATTCCTACATTACTTTTAAAACTGTGAATGGTTTCTTAAATGATATTCAAAACTGCGAATCAAGTCAATAATAGTATTCAAAATTATGTATTAAGTCATATATAATATTCAAAACTATACAAAAAATTTCAAAGGATATCTAAAATTCCACAGAAAATCATATATAATATTTAAGTATTTTTTTTTCAAATGCCCATACCAATTTAGCTATAATATTTTATACATAAAAAACACAAAAAAAAAATGTAAAGTTACATATAATATTCAGAACCAAATAAACACCCATATGATATATCTATACTCATATCACAACATGTATATTTTCCTCCTAAAAAAATAAATAAAAAATATCTTTCCAAATTTAAAAAAATATATAGTGACTTCCAAAGCGAACACACACGGCATTTCAAAACAAATAAATACCGTTAATGTCTGATATGTACCCAATTAAACTTTCTTATAACTGCACTCGCCCTCGGTAAAAAAAAAAAAAAAAAAAAAAAAAAAAAAAAAAAAAAAAAAAAAAAAAAAAAAAGTTAACGCCAAAGTGAATATATATTTTCGAGTTTCATTTCTCGATTTGGAGAATTCGGAAGAAAGCAGGAAGTGATAAATTAAAATTGTTATCATTTCCGTGCGCATGTTCTTTATTAAATTACTTGCCCCCCCCCCCCGAGTCGATCGCTTGTGTAGTGTTGCCATTGATAATTTCCACAAATTCGCTAAACTGGACTTCAAAAAACCCCGCTAGACATAAGAATAAAATCTTATTTTCCCGCTACAGAAATGGACTTAAAAGATCGCTAAATTCAGAAATTCGCTAAACTGGACTTCAAAAAACCGCTAGATATAAGAGTAAAACCCTCTCATTTTCTCGCTACAAAAATGGATCGCTAAATTCAGTTAACTTTCATAATTTTCCCGCTAAATCTAGCGTTGTTCCGTCCAGATTTAGCGGAAAAGCGCTAGAATGACAACACTGTGTTTTTGTTTATTTTCCGTGTTTGGGATAGAATTCTCTACATCATTAATTTGTTTTCTATTTACAATGCATTTAAAGAAAATGAAATTGTGTATATATTTAGTGTCGTTATTTTTTCTCCTTCTATGTAAATAAAATAATTGATAGAAATACTATATATATCATGATATTTTTTTCTTTCATTTAATTTCTTTCGCCAATTACTATACGCTAACATTTATTTATCTATCTCATTTTTATCTATGTATTTATTTATTATCATTATTATTTTTTTACAAATCTTAGCAAAATATTTTGATGCTACTCATTCTTATCAGTTTGGTCACGTGACAGATCGACTTCTATCCCGCAAACTACATTAATAATTCATGACTGATTTTACAAGTGTATTGTATGACAAATACAATGTCTCTTCTAATCTATCTTATCTTCGCTTAATTACATATTTGTTTTATATAATCATTCAGTTATTTATTATTTACCAATATATTTGTAATTATTATTATCATGTATACCTTGATTTTCTTGATATATATCTTGATCTGCTTCTTCTTATCATTATTATTAATGTCATTATTATCATTATTGTTATTATTATAATTTTTAATCAATATTATCTTTATCATTATTAGTATTCTTATTATTATTAGTAGTAGTATCATTATCATCATCATCATTATTTACCATTTTCATCATTATTGTCATTTATCATTATCATCATTACTATTATCATTTACTATTAATCGCTGTTTTATTTCCATTTATTCTATTCTATGCTACTTTAAGAAAGTCTCAAATTAGTTCCAGATTATATATATAAATATCTTTTACCGATAATTATTAAATCGTTTATTACCTAGAAATAAAAAAAAATAAAAATCACCGGTATTTTAATTTCCTATTAATGATAATTTAGTTAATTTTTTTTATTTTTTTTATTTTTTTTAACGATGATGTTGTTCGCGAGAAAAGTAAAGAAAAGAAAAAAAAACATAATCAACAACTTTTGCAAATTATTCTACGTATATATATTCATAAAATAGAAAACTCAGAAATATGTAAAATAACCATGACCTAAAAAATATATATATTTCTTGGAAAAAAAGAAAAGAAAATTAAAAATTTCAAAACGAATGAATTAAAAAAATATTCTCAGCCAAAATAATAATAATTATAACAAATTTATATACGTGAATGAAATATACGTGAATAAATAGACGAATAAAGTGTAAGTGAATGAATATGTAAACAGCCAAATAAATAGACAAAATGAAGTAATAAATAAATAAATAGAACAAACATATAATAAAACACGTCCATCAATAAAGTAATAACAATAAAATAATAATTATAAGAATAATAAAAGATGAAAAATGAAGAACGTGTCCATCAAAAAAAAAAAAAATAAAATAATAAAATAAAAAATAAAAGTAACTAAAAATAATAAAATAAATAAATGAATAAATAACAATAATAATAATAAAAAATAATAATGATAATAATAATAATAATAGTAAAAAAAAGAACGCGTCCATCAAAAAGAAAAAACAAACAATACAAACAAGATAAATAAATAAACAATAATAAAGTAAAAAAAAAAAAAAAAAAAAATGCCGAACGCGTCCGAATCCTCTCCTCCCTCTCCCTCTCCCTCCCTCCTTCCCTCCCTCTCCCCTCCCTCTCCCCTCTCTCCTCTCCCTCTCCCTCTCCATCTCCCTCTCCCTCTCCCTCTCCCTCTCTCTCCCCCTCCCTCCTCCCTCCCTCCCTCTCCTCTCCCTCCCTCTCCTCCCTCCTCTCCCTCTCCTCTCCTCACCGGCTGGCTTCTCTCCTTCTCCTTCCCTCGGGGGACTCGTCCGATTTCTTGTTCTTCGGTTTCCTCTTCCGACTCTGGATCGAGTCCTTGCGCATCTGCAGTGGCCGGTTGATCCCGTGCAGCTTGTAGTAGAGGCCGCAGGCGTTGCACACTGGTTCGCCTGGGGAGGGAAAAGGAAGGGGGTGGGTGGGTGAGATGGTGTGTTGGAGGGGGGGGTTGGAGGGGGGTGGGAGGGGGGGAGAGGGAGGGGGGAAGGTTGGGGGGGTTGGAGTGGGGGAGGTTGTTGACGGGGGGAGGGGGTTGGAGGGTGGGGAGGGTGTGGTGGAGAGGTATGAGGGTAATGGTTGTTGGAGGGGTGATGGGGTTTGGAGTGGGGGGTGGGTGTTGGAGAGGGGGAGGTTGAGGGGGGAGGGGTTGGAGGGTGGAGGAGGGGGTGGTGGAGAGGTAATGGTGTTTGGAGGAGGGTGATGGGGTGTTGGAGGGTGGGGTGGGTGTTGGAAAGGGGGGGGATGTTGAAGTGGGGGGGGGGTGTTGGAAGGTGTTGGGGGTGTTGGGGTAATGGGGTGTTGGGGGAGGAGGGTGTGTGTGTGTGTTGGAGTGTTGGCGTCTGGTTTTCACTGAATTACTGTTGTTCTTGTTACTGATCCTATCAATTTAATTATCATTATCATAATCACTATTATTAATGTCAGTGCCATGAATGCCATCATCATCACTATCATATATTAATTTATTCATTAATTAATCTATTCATGTATGTGAATAGGAATGACAAAGATATCAACAATCAAAACATCAATATTAGGATATGGAAGATTAATGAAGATAAAAATTATAGTTTTTAATAGCGTTACACAACAGCAGTCACAACAACAACAACAGCAAAACAAGAACAAAAATAACAATATCAATAACAAACAATTACAACAATAACAACAACAATATCAAACAAGAAACAAGAACAACAATAACAATAAAAACACCAAAGAACAACAACAAACAACAAGAACAACAAGAAAAACAACAACTATCTCAAAGCAAATTCACGAAAAAGAGTACAAGAGGCTAACATTGATAATTATCGTAACAGTCCTTGAAGTGGCGGTAATGAGAATAACAATTAAAACAGCAATAACGACAACTGCAACAGCATAATGACAATTACAATAAAAAAAACACAATCACACGCAAATACACAAACACACAGACACACACAGAAAGACACACGCACATATACACGTATACACCCCCCCCCACACACAACAACCTTCACCCCCCCACAACCCCCCTTCCCCTACACATCCTTCCCCTCCCAACCCCTCCTCAATCCCCACCTCCTCTTAAACCTCCTCAACACCCCACCCCCCTCCCAACCCTCCTCACCCCCATCCCCTTCTTAACCCTCCCTAAACCCCACCCCATCCTCCCACACAATTTTATCCCGTCATGCCTCTCACCTTCATTATTCCGAAGCCTAAACCTCTCATACTCATTATTCCGGCTCCCCAAGCCTCCCACCTTCATTATTCCGGCCACCCTAAACCTCTCACCTTCACTATTCCTGCCCCAAGCCTCTCACCTTCATTATTCCGCCCCCCTAAGCCTCCCACCTTCATTATTCCGGCCACCCTAAACCTCTCACCTTCACTATTCCGGCCCCCTAAGCCTCTCACCTTCATTAATCCGGCCACCCCAAACCTCTCACCTTCATTATTCCGGCCCCCTAAGCCTCTCACCTTCAAGCTCTCACCTTCATTATTCCACCCAAACCTCTCACCTTCATTATTCCGGGCCCCTAAGCCTCTCACCTTCACTATTCCGACCCCAAGCCTCTCACCTTCAATATTCCGAAGCCTAAACCTCTCATACTCATTATTCCGGCCCCCAAGCCTCTCACCATCAATATTCCGAAGCCTAAACCTCTCACCTTCATTATCCCGGCCACCCTAAACCTCTCACCTTCACTATTCCGAAGCTTAAACCTCTCACCTTCATTATTTCGGCCACCCCATGCCTCTCACCTTCATTACTCCGAAGCCTAAAGCTCTCACCTTCACTATTCCGG